TCTAGGTGTTTTACTGAAAAAAAAAGGAAGAACAGTAGGAGACAATTTCATTCTTTTTCACTCTGTTTAAGAAGGTTTTTTTCAGTCCATTTGAATTTCAACTTCCTGTACAGGTTTTTCAGTGTTTGAGGGTTTCATCAAATTTGAAATTAGCAGAATCAACTAACATGGAGCATCAGTGAGAGGCTGTTAAACTGTGGAGGCGATTTGCAGTGAAATATCATGTCTGTTAAGGGCAAGAATGAGGCTTTTTGCTCTTTGTTTTCAGAGGAGCTCCAGTTCTGGCTGAGAATTATAAGCATTGTTGTAACAGAAACAATAAACAGAGGAAAGACTTCATTTCCAAGTGTACCTTACTACTAAGTTGTCATTAGTGACTACTGTGTTACTCGCAGTAATGCAGAGCACAGAAGGGCTGTCTGGCCTCTAGGCCTTTGCTTCCAATTTAGTGAGTGTAGCTGTGCTAAAGTTGCTCAAAGGTGACTTACTCTTGTAGACAGCTGCAGTTCAAGTGTGTTGTGTGCGTATCTATGTGACTGAGTGATAATTGGCCACGCACATGAAAAAGCCAGGTGAGGATATGCATTTCTTTGTTACTGAACTTTGCTTTAAAAATCTGATCTTAAATATTTGCCTGAAAGTCAGATGAGACTGGTGTTTTCTCCATGAGAACGTCTCGGTGTGCCAGTGGGCTTCTGTAAGACACGTATGTGTTTGTGAGCTGTAGGGATGGCACGTTACAGTGGTGACAGTGGTTTCTAACTTGGGCTTGTGTTGAAGGACTCTTCTGAAATAGTCTCCTTCCTATTTGGTGTTGACTCTTAATGAAAACAGATACATATTTTCGTTTCTTAGAGTCTAGTTAAGGGAAGTGGAGAAACTATCTTTGGCACAGTGTGTTTAAAAAAAATGTAAACATTATATGCTCAGTAACATTGCATTCTTGGTTTAATAACCTGCAGCTTTTGTACTTTGTTCATGTGATTCATAGGTTCTTCTACTGTTAAAGCATAACAAGTCGTGGTAGAAGGAGTTGTTAAGCGGAAAGAATTTTGGTGTTTAAAAGCATTTTGTGGTCTAACTGACACTATAGTTGTTTTCTTCATTTGTACTCATTGTCCTCCTTCTGGACATGAATGTTGATATTTATTAGAACCAGTTCTAGTGAACTCTTTTTTCCCTCAATGGTGGGAGTGAAAGCAAGCAGCCATCTAGCATATACGTAATTTAAACAAATGTAGTAGCGTTTTTGCATCCTATTGTATGTAATTTTACTGATATGTTTTGCTGCAGGAAGCTTATTTTCGCTACATGGCTGAAAACCCCACTGCTGGTGTGGTCCAAGAAGAGGAAGAGGATAACCTGGAGTATGATAGTGATGGGAATCCAATTGCACCGTCCAAAAAAATCATTGATCCTCTTCCACCTATTGACCATTCAGAGGTAGGAAGTTTATTCCTTCTGTTCTGTCGGAGGCATTCTAGAAAGCAGGTGCTAAGAAGGAGGTTGAAACATGGTTCTGTCCCTGTACATCAGTGTTGGCAGGTAATAATTCAGTGCTGTGCCACTTGAGTCACACTGAAGATCCTTCAGATGACATCATATTAAACTAGTGTTCTTGCAGATAATGAAGAACTTTTTCTCCAAAGGACCCTTTCCCTCCAAAACTAAGTGAACGGAGAGAGAATGTCGAGTCCCGGACTAACCGAGTAATTCCCCTTGTAGATTGAATATCCGCCGTTTGAGAAGAATTTCTATGATGAGCACGAGGAGATCACCAGTCTGACCCCGCAGCAAGTGGTGGAGTTACGTCATAAGCTGAATCTCCGGGTAAGCTGGTCACAAAACTATCCTCCTGTGATCTTCCTACTTGCAGTTTTTTGGACTGCCTTGGTAGTTTTGATGAATGTTTTCAAAGGAAACTCCAGCTTTTGAATACTAAGCCTCTTGGATATTTTCAGTGGCTTTATTTTAAGGGAGCTTGGTTTTCCTCAGCAGTTCTGGAAAGTCTTCTGTAGACTCTTCAAAGTGAGCATCCAAGATTGCAAGTTGCATGGTTGCACTTTGGACTAAAGAACTAGGAATTGAAACTGGAAATATTATGTGCAAGAATTAGTTCTTTGCCATTTGTGGCGTTAGTGCCTTTCTATGAAGGAATTCAATTGGGGAAGAAGGAAACTAATTACACAAGGAGGCAGAGATGATGTTTAGTAGCTTATGTTGATACCTGAAAGTCCTATTTACACAACACGTCTGGAATTTGCACCTAGTTAAACTTATGTCTATTCAGAAAATACAAAGCCATTTTCGGAAGTAGAGACACACTTTTTTTTCCATTTTTGTCCAGATTGCTCTTGTTTTTCCCATACTGTTGATGAACAAAGGTACGTTTCTGTTTCTAAGGTCTCTGGTGCTGCTCCTCCAAGACCCGGCAGTAGTTTTGCTCATTTTGGGTTTGATGAGCAACTTATGCATCAAATTAGGAAATCTGAGTATACCCAGCCCACTCCTATACAATGTCAGGTGAGTGTTGTTACTTCTCTAACATCTGAACGGAAGGAATGGAACGCATCTGAAGGTCCCTAGTCTGTGTGAGGATGTATACAACTCTGGTTTTCCTATGTAGAGCTGTCACGGAGAAGAATAATTTGTATTTTGCTAGGAAAATTGCTTCAATATTTTTTAAATAGCAGTTTACCCACCTTTTTTCTTGTTAAATGACCGCTGTAAATACACCCGTATTCTTTTCTTCATTTGTCTCTTGGTGAAGACTGAAGAACATGCAAGTGGCATCTCTTGCTTATAGAAATGTATGAAAGATGGTTTTGTTTTTAATAGAATTTCTAAAAAAAATAACCATAGCAGTAACTGAGTAGGGAGCCATACGTTGACAACCTTATTCCTTTAAACAGCTTATATTTGAACGTCTTGTGACTAGAAGAGGGATGCAACAAGGCATTTTTTTAATTTCTTTTGTCAGTTAGAATAAATGCCGTGTGAGCTGGACCATGTCACTGGTCATTCCTTGGAGAGCCATGAATGCAAAACGGGTTCTACTGCATATGTAGATTGATTAGCAAATGTAATTAAGGTTATGATTAATGTGATTATAACCGCACCACTTTAAATACTTTTCTTGAAGTACAAAAAATGACATGGTGCATCTATGGGATGTGTGTTAGGACCTTAGTCCATACTATTTCTAAAAACCTGAAGTTGAGAGGTCCTTATAGCAACAGTAGGGATGAACTGAGGGCTTCAGCACTTAGAACAGTAACAGAAAGAATAGACTCATAGAATTTATTTTTAGCATTCTTACAGCTGGACAAGATGCATTTGTGGACATGTAAATATTTCTTTCGGATGTTGCACTGTGCCCAAACATTGATTTCATGTAGGACACCAACAGTTGTAACATGATAATTGCTTCCAGACATTAAACCAAAGCAATTCAGGTCTGAACTTGGCAATAAAACTGTGTAACCATTGACATATGTCACTGTGAGTCCTTCGTAATGTGCTTTTCTCTTGTTATCTGAGTTCTCATGTAATATCTAGTGCAAGAATATGCTGTGGTAGGCGTAACATGAGTTTAGAATCTCCTTGCTTTTAGGGTGTTCCAGTTGCACTGAGTGGCAGAGATATGATTGGGATAGCTAAGACTGGAAGCGGAAAAACAGCAGCCTTCATTTGGCCAATGTTGATTCACATCATGGATCAAAAGGAGCTTGAACCAGGGGATGGTCCCATTGCGGTGATCGTGTGCCCAACCAGGGAGCTCTGCCAACAGGTAGGTGTATAGTGAGGATATATACGTGCTGTGCAGTGTTCTTATAGAAGAAGATAAAATTCTGTGCAGAAATCATCAGAGAACCTCCGTAAACTGTTTGAAAAAACTGCTCTGTGCGTTCGTGGCGTGCCTCTGATGTAAGCTCACAGTTCTCTTTTACACCTCTTTTAGTTGAAGGATCATGACAAATCTGAAATTGTAAATTTTCACACAGTGCTCCCATATTATTTCTAAGTATTAAGAATACTGTGGGTGCATTGCTACAAATTGTACGTGTAAAAGGATGGAGCCTGCAGGTTAAGTTACGGTGGGACACCTGAATACGTTTCTCAAGTTATTTGAATCCACAATTGAAGTATTCAGCCCTGAGGATTTCTGAATATTTTCAGTAAATTACTAGCTGAAAAGTGGATTTCAGGAGCTGGACGATGTTTCCAAGGAAGGTATTTTTTCTCAGGTCTGTCTGATGTGAACTGTGATGTGCTTTGTTTAAAATTCTCAGATCCATTCTGAATGTAAGCGCTTTGGTAAGGCATACAACCTGCGCTCTGTAGCTGTGTATGGAGGAGGAAGCATGTGGGAGCAAGCCAAAGCCCTCCAGGAAGGGGCAGAGATAGTTGTCTGCACACCAGTAAGTACCTGTATGCACACAGTACAATTTTTTGTTGCTTAGCTGAAGCTGAGATGGATATTTAATACCATTGGCGATGCAGAATTTGTACTCTGATCACTGAAATCTAGGTTCTTCGCAGGTTGTGAGATGTCGAGAGTAAATATTCTGAGATTATTTGTGTCCTAGGAGAAATTGAAAGAGATTAGATATGATTTCCAGTAGACGACAGAGTAGCAAGCCAGATCTGCTTGAATCAGTGTCAGTTGTGTGCAATACCAGCTCCTGATTGCTGAGCCTTTGATTCATGCAGAAAATTCCCAAAATGTCATGAACTTGAGTGCCACCTTCCTGAGTCAGCATAGAGCCTGTGGCAGTAATACTGAAAAGTTGAAACATTGAATTGGAATGGGTGTTGGTGCTGAACCAGTGATTAAATGAGAACTCTTGCCAGTTGACTTTGCTTGTTGCAAAAACTGGTTATGAACTTGGGCAAAACTGACCAACTAATGGTTGGAGGAAGTTTTATTGTGGCTATTTATTGGGGTACTAGGCAAGAAAACGGAGTATGAAGAACTCCCTTGCCAAAAATTGTGGGATTAAGTAGCCAGGTGACATTTAAAATTTAATTGTAATGAAGACTAGGGATAATTTTAGGATCTCAGCACTGTTAACTTTGAAAATCCAGTCCTAAAATTCAACTCGTCAAGTATGGTTGCTGAGAGTGTTAGGAATCTGTTTCTGTGACTTGAATACTGATGCTTACTTCCAGAGTGAAGCCTTGAGTTGTTTTCTGTTCTAAGTCTCTGGTAAGTAAGGATAAAAAGCAGTTAAGTGCTTGAAGGTTGCCTATACTAACATTTTTCTAAATATGCTTTAAGAACTTGGCTTTTTTTTTTTTTTTTAATAGGGTCGTTTAATTGATCATGTGAAAAAGAAAGCTACAAATCTTCAAAGAGTCACTTACCTTGTGTTTGATGAAGCTGACAGAATGTTTGACATGGGTTTTGGTAAGTAATGAACAAAGGTCACTGCTTTGGAAAGCGGTGGTGTCTAGTTCTCAGCTTAGTAGGACTGTTTATAACCCCTGTAGCTTCATATACTTGAAAATATATTAAGGAAATACTTTATGGACAAAAGCCCTATTTCACGGTCTAATATCTCTTGTTATAAAGAGACCAGCGAAGTCCTGTTGATGTTGAAGTCTAAAAACCCTGTTTTTTATCTTAAGAGTTGCCGAATAACTTTTGGGCAAGTCACTTCTGTGCTTTGGTTCTGTGTGTACAAAGTAGTGGCCTTAAAAGAACTTTCTTCTTAACAGGAAGAGGTTTGCTCATTCAGGTCTGGGTGATTTTGAATGTGTGCTCAAGCATCATGGGATGTAGCAAAGATTTGACAATACTGTAATACCACACACGGAGGGAGACAGTTGTAAGGCAGCGTAGACTCAGCTAGGATCTTTGCTTACGGAACTTTTTGCTGAAGGAACTTCCAAAAGCTTCTTTATACAGCAAAGGGACTTCCATTGTGCAGTAAAGAGCACTTGGAAGTCACAGTGTAACACTAAACACTGAGTGAGAGGCACTTGTTCGTTCTATAGTTATTAAATAAAGCAGTGAAGTTGCATTTTGAGTTACTCTAAATAACAAGTGTTAATTAGAACGTTTTCCCTCTCCTTTCCAGAATATCAGGTCAGATCAATCGCAAGCCACGTACGTCCCGACAGACAGAGTAAGTATCAGCATGTTTCAAAGTAAACTCCTGAGAGTGAAGGAGGCTGTGTGGTGGGCTACCAGTTAAGGATCTGGAACAGAGACTGGATTCCCTGTTCTTGACGCAGCCACGCAGTGACACTTTTGCAGCAGTCCACTGGTGGGCTGTTGGGAGGGAGCACTTGTGAGTTGGTTGAATACCCCTACGTGTTCATCAGTCTCTAATCCCTCCAGACGTCGTGCAGGAACAGGTGATTAGCTGAATCGGTGTTCATATGCTTTGAGATCCTGCCTTCCAAGCTGCCATGAAGGAACGTTCACAGCAGTGCCACATGTTATCAACATCTTATTTCAGATGCCATGAAATGTGTCTCCACTTTGAGGTGTTCTAACAGCATGATTGATAATTTTCATTAGAACCAGTAAAACAGACTGTAGCTGCAGATGGCTGACATCTAATGCAGTCGTGTGGGTCCTCATTCACAAGATCTGAGCAGTGTTTTCTCGGTTCTGAAGGAAAATTTCTTTTTCAAGGAGTTGAAATACCGTTTTTCTTTTAGCCCTCTTGTTCAGTGCCACTTTCCGCAAGAAGATTGAGAAGTTGGCCCGAGATATTCTGATCGACCCGATCCGAGTTGTGCAGGGAGACATTGGAGAGGTAATTCCACATCACTTCTGAGACAGTCAGAGAAATGAACCATTCTGTTTCCGTTGGCTGAAATTTATGTTAAACTACTTCTATTTAAAAGTAGATACTTTGTGCCTAACAAAAAATAGTAAGGTTTTGGTTCGGTTTTATTTTATTGAGCTTTCCTTCTGCCAACAAATACTCTTAGAGGGATGGGAGGTTTCATCAAGGAGTGAAACAACGTGAATGTAGTGATTGATTGTGGGATTTTTTTAATTAGGCTGAATCGATATATCTTTTTGTTTTGTTTCAAAACTATAAATAAACTACAGTTTTTGCAGTGAGGAATTTGAAACTTTGTAATGTCTGTCAGCTGGTTTACTGGGAATGTTGATTCTGTACTTGCTGGACAGCAGCGGCTGAGCTGTTAGCAGACTGGGGATTTGGTGATAAGTCAATAAAGTGGGCAGATTACACTTGTGGTGGAGAAACTTTGTTTATAATAGAACTGTTGAGAACTGTTGAGAAGCTTCACAAGATACCTTCAGAACATTCTTTTAACCGGTTCTCTGCATTTATTTATTTTTTTTTTTACAATCAGGAGTGTGAGATATCCCTTTATAACAAAAAAAGGATGGCTACCTGAAGCCCCTTCTTTCTGGGAAGATGTTTCTCCTAAACATCACTTAAGAAAAGAAACAGCTTTCCTAGTTCAATCACATGGTTTCTTTTCCTTGATCTAAATTGTTACTCTATTATGAGAGCATCATCCTTGAAATAATTAATATTTAAATATGTAAGAATTAAATCTTTCAGAGAAACTTCCAGATAGTGCTGCGAGCTCCGCTGCACTTTTATTGCTTGAAATATGGAGCGTGTGGGGAGTCTGTTTATACCTCCCCTCTTCTGACTCCAGGAACACGTCACAGCTCACAGGGATACTTTCTCTGACCGCCGTATGAGTAACTTTTACGGATGAGCATCTTCTCCATCTGTGTTCTTGCACAGATGTGCAAGATCTGTCCTCTCCATCCTGTTCTTGCACAGTCTATTTGAGATGTTAATAGCATCTGTCACAAGAGCATCTAACTTGCAAGTACGGATCTTTAGATCAGTGGGGTTGTGAACTGCGTCATGTCAAAGACTGCGCTTTGCCTCTCAGGTTTAGCAAAGAGTAGCTCGTTTAACCCCTGCTTTTTCTGCACTGTGAAGATAAAGTGGTCAACACTTAGACAAGGGAGAGAGAGCTGAAACCTCTTTCAAAGGAGAATTTTGGTCCCCTGCTTCTCTACTTTTTGTTCTCACACCTAGTTGGAATTCCTCCTGTTATTCTGCGGTCTGTGTGTGTTTGCCATGCTGTCCTTTCTGTCCTGCGTTATTGCTTGTCTTGTTTCTCTCCTTAGGCAAATGAAGATGTTACTCAAATCGTGGAGATTTTCCCCTCTGGCCCTAGCAAATGGAACTGGCTGACTCGACGCCTCGTGGAGTTCACATCTTCTGGGAGCGTTCTCCTATTTGTCACCAAGAAGGCAAATGCAGAAGAGCTGGCCAATAACCTTAAGCAGGAGGATCATAATCTAGGGCTGCTTCATGGTGACATGGACCAGAGTGAGAGGAATAAAGTCATTTCAGAATTTAAGAAAAAGGGGATCCCGATACTGGTTGCTACTGATGTAGCAGG